ATCGGTAGCAAACATCGATACTGGCATGGGTAAATTTCGTCGTCGCTAAAACTCCCTATTTGGACGAAAAATTTTTGGGTAAAAATCTCCGATATAAATACTATAAACGTGTATGTTTGCACGAATTATTACTGTCTACTTCTAAGGATTAGATAATATTTGAATTTAACCATTTTTGTGAAGAAAATCAATCCGTGAATTATGTATTTTGTTAAAAAAGCACAGGTTGTATTTCTGTCCAGTTTGTTGAAACACAATATGTAACATTACAGCCCTTCTCTTTGATTTGTGGTCTCGAGACGGGCACCCGATCCCCGCATCCCATCTCACAATCACCGAGACGGGCGCTCGACCCCGTGCTCTCGGTAGCCAGCGGGATCTCCAGGTAGCTCACTCGGACGCAAATCCCGTCGCCGCAGAGTTTGGCCGAGACGGATGCGGAATAGACGGGCTGGAATTCCTCACCCGTCCGTCTCTCTCAAATTGCGAGACGGACACTCGACCCCGTGCTCCCGGTCGCCAGCGTATCTCGAGACAGGCCACGGGGATGCACTCACGTCGCCATAGAGCTTGCTCAGCACCGCCCGCAGGCCAAGACAGACGCGGACAAGGCGGCGGGAGGGAAGGCTTGGGAGCCAGGTTCGGCTATGAATCCACGCATCGGCCGGCTCGAGGAATTCCGGTCCGAGACGCGCACTCGACCCTGTGCTCTCGGTCGCCAGCGGGTACTAGGGACGGCCAGGGAGACGCGGACTAGACAGGGGCTAAGTTGGAACTACTCGGGAGCGCGAATCCACGCATCGGCCGTAACGAGGAATTCCAGCCCGACTGTCTCATCCTTGGAATCTCTCTAAAACTCCGAGACGGTCACTAGACCCCGCGCTCTCGACCAACAGCGGGTCTCGAGAGGGCCACTCGGATCCAACTTCCGTCACTGGAGAGCTCGACCCTGCCCGGGAGAGACGCGGACTAGGCGGGGGAAAAGTACACGAGCGTAGCTCGGTCGTAATGATAAAAAAAGAAGTGACCAAGACGTTACCAAAAGAGCACGCAGAAGTTCATACGGAGTGTTGTTTGTTGTGGGTTGTTGTTAAGAAGAGAGAGAGAGAGACAGACAGAGAGGGAGAGAGAGAGAGAAAGAGAGTGATAACCCTGTGCGTCTGAATCGGACAAATCTCAACGCATCGCGCCGCAACAGATCGCTCTACCGAGTACGACAAACTCGCACAAACTCGCAGATTTACCTGCCTTCGAACGACACCTGCCGAAACACACAGATCGGACACACACCACCCAGTTCGCCCGCGAGGGCAAAGTAGGGCCTAATGGTTCTGTCGCCGGTCTCAGAGAGGCAGACGCGGGCGTCGTGGGACGAGATTCCAGTTATGGGGCGTTCAGCCGTAAGCCTCAGGACAAAGGCAAGCCCTAATAGCAATAAATTACCAAGCATCAACGCTTTCAATGCCCGACCAATGTAACAGCTCATTCGTAAAAGGTTCCCTGCCAGTAGGTTAAAACTAACCTGTCTCACGACGGTCTAAACCCAGCTCACGTTCCCTGTTGGTAGGTGAACAATGATAGGAAGAGCCGACATCGAAGGATTAAAAAGCAACGTCGCTAAGAACGTTATAAGCCAGTTATCCCTGTAAAGAATAGCCCCCCCCCCCCATCGTCGCCTGAGCGGCGCCACAAAAGGTTCAATAGGCCTTTGTTTCACACGGATCCCTCCTACTGAAAAACATCCTCAAGCCAACAATTTTTATTCGCATTACCAAGGGTTTGCCCCCATTCTGAATGGGCCTTGGTTCTCCCGCACTAGACTTTCGCGGGCACATCGCCCAAGTTAAATTCAGAACTGACTCTGTCCTCGATCGCCCTCGCGAGGGACTTGCCCGACCGCCCGCCTTTAGTGCGGGGGACCCCTCGCTTAGCACCTTGCGCTCACCGACACAGCCCCGAATGCCCCGAATGCCATTCCAGGCTCATGTAATATCTGAACGAACATATTGGTAAATTTGTTTGCAGGAGCCTTGTTTTCTTAGATTCCATTATCTTACAAGCTAAAGCAAATACCCGGTATCTCCACCATATATGACCACTTATCTTTTAGCTCTTCTAAGATGTCAATGCTCAGTATAGATCATGACTAACGTAATAGCTACTATATGAATTAATGAAGTAAATATCCGATTGGTTGCTATGTTCGCATACTCTCACTTTGTCACAATCTCGACTTCTCGTCTCATGTTCTCGCCTCGGAAGTGCAATGTATGCGCATGCCCACTGACTAACCTATTGGCATTTATATTTAGACATGGATTGAAATAGACGGGAATGTTTGGTTTTCTAGAACGTTTAATAGTCCTAACCAATTTTAATCTGTTCTGGCATAGATGATATTGTATTCTGTACTCGATTTTAAGTCTTCGGTCGATTCTTTCTTTCCAACCGGATGGAGGGAAACAACAAAGTTCTGACAGCGCGAAATCAATCACTCATCCGTATTCCATCACTCGGATTTGAAATAAAGTGGGAGCCACTGTGACTTAGTGCGTAAAACGTTAGCTCGCTAACCTGGAGGTCCCGCGTTCGATCCCTGCGTTGATCTTAAAAGTTCCTCGGGATTTTTCATGCGTGGTTCCCCCTTGTTAGTGGTGCAAGACGGAGGGCCCGTGTCTAGCAGAGCTAAGCAATTTCATTGGTCGATGCTTTGGGGCAGGATAATTTTGATTCTATCTATATAGTTGATAATGAATTTGATTGCTTGATACTTTTGAAAAAAAAATGTGCGATTAATTTATTTATTTTGGGATTTCGGCGGGGGACATCAGTCTCACTGTTGGCTTGTTGCACACTATATGGTGTATGCCCGTCTTCATTGGCCCAGTCTGGGCAGAACAGTAGGGCGTTAAACCCCAATTCATTACGTTTTAAATTCATATCAGGGTTGTAAATCCTACATAAACTCGTCGATGTGCATGTAAAAGAACCCTTCATATGACTTAGAATTCGATAAGGAATGTCGTCTTACATTCTTACCTGTTAAAACGCAACCAATCAGTTGTTTTAATAATGCAGTATGAAATATATTATTCAACTAGAGACATAATGACATGCATTACAGCCTATTTATTCAATGGCTATTGTATTTCTCCAATCATTCGAAAACGGTGTGTTACTAATAATAGCACCTGATCAATACACATTGTAAACCTTGATAAATTCGTTTGTAGTAAACATATCAACATGGGAAGACGGGAATTATTGGCCAGATGTCATAACCCATCTCTTGCTCGATCTTCTTCCTCCTCTTTCTATATCCGAACATTTCCCATAGTCGCTTGGTTCATTCCCGTAAGTTGCAGCCATGTAACCTGTTTTCTGTTACCTCTGGTCACTGTAATGCTTCACTCACTGTAATGTTTATTTGGATGTTACGATGTGGTAAAATAATACACTTCCTTCGTTATTTTGTGTGAGGAGGGCATCTTCCTTAAAGTTGTATTCGTTTGCTTTGTTGTGGTACCATGAGGAAAATACAACTGGTAGAACTGGTTATGATAGACAAGGACGAAGATCGAGGTTTAAATCTTTTGCTTTGTTGTGGTACCACGAGGAAAATACAACTGGTAGAACCGGTTATGATAGACAGGGACGAAGATCAAGGTTTTGTTCTTAGGACATTCTCAATATATACCCCAATCACGTCCTGGAGAATAATGTTATAACCAGATAATTCTTAACTATTATGCCTAGTGCAGATATGGTTAGGGTAGTTCAACATCAAAATGACAACACGGGTCGGTAATGTAGAAAAGACTGATGTTTTGCCGAGTTTTGTTTTATTACTTTTTCGACGAGTATTGATATATTTTTTTTTGATATAAAAAAAAACTAGTAGAAGCGTTTATTTATCACCCAACCCTTTCTTATACTCACAAATAAATAAATAATTGACAAATCAAAATCCTGTACAGCGATATCTCCCAGGAGATATGGCTTAGTAGAATATGAAAGTTATTACAAAAGCCATATCTACTGTAGAATGTGTTATTGGGTGATAAAAAAGGATATATTGTATACATTAACATGATATAAGTTATGAATGTACTATTTACATATAAATATGTTATTGAAATATGCAGTGTGTGTGTGTCAGTGGTGTTTCCAATTCATTGGTGTCACAGTTACATATCTACCTGTAGTAATATAGTTCATTATCTGTATATAAAATACACATATATTGAACGACCGTTAGTATATTGCAATGAAAAAGGCTGATTATTGACTATAGGCCTGTGCGTCCAAATTAAATATGAGGGTAATGGCGAAAGGTTTAAAACTAAAGTCGACGTGAAGAGAAGACGTCGTCTGCAGTGTCATGTATGACAAACAGACGTGTAACAGTAGACCAGAGGATACTTGAGAGTTATGACGGGAACGTGAATAATGTTGATTACGGCATCCATAGTGATTTTCTTAGTGAAAGTAGCGACGATAATGATAATTTTCGACTTTTTCGTTGTTTTTTTTTGTCAACTCTGCACCTATGATGAAAAATCATATTAAATGTATATGTATATTTCAGCACTATTTTTCCTGGTAGCTCTTGATCCATACTTGCAGAATATCTCATTTGGTGGAACTTTGTCAAACATTGGCCAACGGACCAAGGGGCAAAATGGCCCTATTTACAGTATGACAAAGTTCAAAGGGTTAAGGTCAAATGCTGAATTATTGTGACTTTCATGGAAACTCTGAAATTCTGTTATTAAGTGTTTTTGTGACTGGGTTCCGCACTGCAGCCGTTTAAGCATTCCAAAATGGGGGGGAGGGGGGTGGCGGTAATAGATTATCGCCAATTTACCAAATATAAAATATGTTAATGAGCAAATTCCGACCGGGGTAATGTCTAAAACTTTTACGCACAGACAGTTCGACAAAAAAAGCATCTGAGCTACTGTTTTTTAAATCCACTTTGGAAGGAATAAAAACACAAAATGACCTTACATGTGATAAATGTCGAAACTCATGGTAAGGCTTGCCATACATGGATAGGGTGGCATACTTATCGAAGTAATTTGAAAAACTTTGTGGCACACGAGATCTGGCTGAAAGTCCGAAGAGAGAGAGAGAGAGACAGAGATGGGTTTAACGTCCACTCGACACAAACTAGGTCATTTAGGGACTAACATATGATTCAATTTTATTTCAATAATTCGCTTGCACATAGGTTCTTTAGCAGTGGGAGGAAACCGGAGGACCCGGATAAAACCCATGAGTTTGGACAGGCGACCCTACTTCTTGTCACGTACAACCAGGGAATCGAAACCACGCCAGTTGACTCAATGACAGACTTTATGATACAACGCACACGCGCTAACCATTTGGCCAGCTCTCCCCCCGCCCCCAGCCCGAAAAGGATAGATCAATTGCGTTGAACAAACTTTTACCACTAACAAATACAATCATTGAATGAATTATAGACATAAGAACTGCAACTGTAGTGTTATTATTGTCTTTATACCAGACCAGGGCAGTCATTAGTACCCGCAACTAAAAGGACTAACCCAACGCAGAAACATGCCGACGTGGTTTCCACTTTAGTGGATAATGCCATATAAAACTATTAAATGTAAAATTGTATCAGATGTTCATGCAAGAAAGCGTGCCTTGATTGGTATTTCCGTCAAAATAATAGGCTTAGGGAGAGATTATGCTTTCCGATATACTTATGCTTCCTTAATTGTTATCTATGTCCCCATTATACGAATATAGACCTTCCCTGTTCTCATAATATACCTTGCCATATGTCTGCACACAATAATTTAGCCTTGACAAAAGTTTTTTGGGGTAGTGATTACTTTTCTTCCTGGTTGCAATGTAAAGGCTATAGAAGTTTGATATGTAATTAGTCACTTGAACATAGCTGGTAAGATGGTGTCCAGGTCTAGTTTGGGTGTTTTTATTCTATTATTTCAAGTGATTCAGATAGAAGGTATGTTTTTATTTAATATGCATAACTTAAGTCTTGCTTTGTCGTATATAGAACGTGTTTTAGATTATTTAAATGCTTACGTATATGAATATACGATTCTACTGTTAGGCTCTTGGTTGTGGTATTTACAAACGCCCCTTTCGACTCGTAAGTTTTTGTCCATAAATAGATTTTTTCGTCTTTGAATTTGTTATAGATAGAATTATATTTGGTAATTCTTTGTCCGGTTAAGGCCACAGTGTATGTGTGTGTGTATGTGATTGATTTATTGAAATAAGCAGTAGAATAAAGGTTATTTGTTCATTATATTTTCATTAACAGAAGAACTGTTATTAAATTACGGAATGGTGGGGTTGTGGGCCAATCTGATTAAAATACAGATCTATATTTTGTTTCGTTTTTTATACTTTCGATGGCCTACACTACATGAAGATCTGACAAGTTGTACTGGAAGGTCGTGTCAGGATTCGTACGAGCGACTTTTGAACCTATGACGTCATACATTGATTAATCAATCAGCATTGACGTTTCTAGCCACAGTTCCGTGCATGGCACGCCAGGAAGGCGACATAACAGACCGTTTCAATGGCTAATCCCTTACTTTAACCAAGACGCCGGTAATATAACAACTCTTCTAGATCCTTCTGTAGTAAAGACAAATAAAACGAAATTTCGAACCATAAAAACGAAGCGAAATAGGATCGGTGTTTTAATCAGATTGGGGTTGGGGTGGCCTTACATCTATTATGTGTAATGTATACGTACGCTAAATAAATTCATTAACAAGGGAAAAGGGAGGGTGTCATCTTAGTTTGCAATCCTATTATCTGGTACGTCTTCCCGACTCTTAGATCAATGAAATTCTACTGTTATAAGGTTTAAATGATTAAACTTTTTTTTTATTTGCAACAATAAATTGTCGATTTCACTGGATTTCGTAAATTGATTTCTTTTGAATACAATTAGTGCTTATTACTGAGTGGCGTTTCGACTAGGCTTCTCTTGTCATAAACAAGCAATGATAAAATATGAAATATAAATAGACAATATATACATGTAAACTACATTACTTGGTTGCATCGGATTAAGAAAGTAAGATTGTTACATACATGTACATATTTTCCTTCTCAGTAATAAGCAGTAATTCTATTCCACAGAATTGTGATCTGTATACTCCAGTTCAATTACTAAATGCCATTGAAACAATTTATTTTGTGAAGTGACAATTTCAGGTTAAACTGTTTACATCTACAGATAAACCCTACTTGGGATATAATCCATATTGTGTTCCATTGTCGACAGAGTTATGCAAAATAGTATCGTTCCAGCTCCACCACTAATGCAACTAACACAGCAGATCAACCCTTTTCAACCAATTCCTTCAAAGTTTCGATCATCAAGTGCACGAACGACATAGACGGCTCGAGAACCTGTCGACACCAACGACCGCCCTTGCTGGATTAAATCACATTTTCTGTGTCAAATTAGGACTGGTGCCTGTAAACATTATGTAATCGGGAGCTGTAATTATATTTGCTTAAACTTAGAGTAAGACTACCTACATGACACGAACTATATGATTAGCCAATAAACTGCAGGTCTATTATATTTGTATTCATACCGTATTTCAAGGGGTATTGAGAATTGAATGTAAAGTTTATTTTATCTAAAAGAATTCACACAATTAATATATACAGCAAATCGGAACAATTTTTAAAGTCCGTCAAGTCCAGAACTAGTATCACTTATTTTCAGAAAGAAATAAATGTGAGATATCAGGAGTGTACAATTTATCCAAATTGTAGGCTAATAGCCGAGTTCCTCAACACTATTAATTCCTTTTCTGTTTACAAACTATTAATCTTGACCTCCACCAACGGTTCTCTAATTCCGCACCACACTGATATATTGAAATGTCTGGGTGGGTTAAATTAAGTTGTACGCCCAATATTTGACCGGACATTTTCCACGTTATGGAATCCACGCTTATTTTATATTTTGCGACTTTTAATCCTTATGAACCGCGTGACGGCTTTCTTCCAAATTCAGCAGGTATTAAGTTTGGTTATTCAGATGTGTTTATGTGCAGTTAATTAATCCTATTGAATTTGGAAGCACCTCTATCTGTGACCATTGTGTATTCTAAATTGGCACATCGTCTACTAATCGGGGGTTAAGTGGCGTCCACCAGGTGAATAAACACAAACAACATATAAATATAAAATAATGTACCTGGCTCTCGCCTAACTTAAAATCACGACATAAACAATCATTGATCTATTGATCTAAACTGTTAGATCTATTGCGACATTATACACTTGGAATATTGATAATATTGCCCGGGTCACATAATTGTAAAATACCATCATTCACAAAAACAATTCTTATTCGGTTTGTTTTCGTGGCATGGGAAATGCAGGGACAGTGTGAATTATCTCCTTGTTTTTTGATATTGGGGAAAGTCGAAAGTCGAGCAAATTTATGTCTCAAAACGAGTTACTGTAGATAAAGATCCTTCAAATCTACCCGTTTTTCGACATTCGCCAATATCAAAAATCTAGGAGATTGCGCAGGCATCTCCATTTATAATATCTTTAGTTCGTTTTTCAAAATCTGATTTAATCAAATGTGTTTTTCAGACATCCTGCAGATAAACATGATTAAAATCTGTTATTTTGAGATTCGGGTTTGAATGTCGAAAACGATCTATTAGATTGAAAACGTGCTACTCGTAACTAAAGCTTCAAGTGTAATTGTCGAAAAAGAGCTATTTTATTGAAAACGAGCTACTCGCAGCTAACGCTACGAGCTGTTTATAGATTTATTATTATCCCTCGGCTTTCGAAGAAGGCTATTAAAATTGGTCTGTATGTCTGTCCATCCGTCCGTCCGTCCGTCTGTCTGTCGGTCACATTTTTTGGGACACTTTAACTTTTTTATTGAAAACGAGCTACTCGCAGCTAACGCTACGAGCTGTTTATAGATTTATTATTATCCCTCGGCTTTCGAAGAAGGCTATTAAAACTGGTCTGTATGTCTGTCCATCCGTCCGTCCGTCTGTCTGTCTGTCGGTCACATTTTTTGGGACACTTTAACTTTCTTTCTAATTGAGCTAGAATGTTCAAACTTGTTTGATTTAATAAAATGCGTTTCTTAGTTGTTCTGTATCTATCCCTGAAATCTGTTTTTCTTTCTATTTTAAAATCTGAATACGGAAGAACGAGTAGGTCGTTTTTGTTGTTTTTGTTGTTATTTGCCAATATCGAAAAAACGAGCTACTGTTTTTTTTAATTTTTGTGCCAATATCGAAAATTGCGCTAACTTTACACAGCCCATTACAGGTATGGTCAATCTGTTTGCCTTATTTTAAGGCAGTTAAAGCAATTAGAAGATGCCCCAAATTAGAACCCCCAAGAAAACAACCTAGTAGACCAACCCGGCCATTTGTTACTGTTTTATATAATATTTCCATATGATTCAAGTATAAATCATACTATTTTAAATAATAAAAAACACACACCTGTCTAATATCTAATGTAATGGCCTATAATACAAGACATGCCATATGTAAACTAGACTATTTACTCATGTGGGTTTGGGGTTATGATGCTTCGTAACAAGATAAATAAATAAAATAAAATGTGTTTATTGACAATGTTATAGCCCTATTTGAAATTAAATTGTAATATCTTAAATTTATTATCTTGAGGGAAAGATCATTTTAACTGAGTGAGATAGAAAGCCATTATCCGATAAGAAGTGTGGCACTATAGCATTTTCATAGTACATGTATCATTGAAAGGGTATATGGGGATGAAATTTTAAATCGAGACATAGGAACATTGGTTATTTAGTGGATTAGTCGTTAAATACTTTTAAAAATCGACAATGATTTACAGTCTAGATTAATCGTTTGAGTGACTTACACAATCTGATTAAAACACATGTCCTAAATATACTGAGCGCCATGGAAAATGCATCACTTTTTTTTCCCAAATATTTTATTACTAGGTGGTTTTGTATGTATAATATTATGCAATACTATGAACTATTGTTTCACACAATGCTCCCAAACGCAAAAAATATCGACCCGTGTGCAAAAAAAAAAAAATTGCACGAGATGCACATGAAAAACCCAATATTCACGTGCAGCATTGTGTGTGAGCCCTTTAAAAGCATGTTTTCAACTTAATGTGCAGTACATGAACTGTGAAACGTCAATCTGTCGTAATTTGTTGTTGGACGTGTGAAGGAATCGAGCTAGAGTAACAACATCAATGTCTTGGACTGGCCAGCCATGTCTCCGGACATGGCACCGATAGAACATGTCTGGGATGAGATTGAACGCCGTCTGTATCGGAGACCACAGATGCACACCATTGCTGCTTTAAAAGCTGCTCTTGTCCAAGAATGGAACAATTTGCCCCAGACCTTCTTTCAAACATTGGTAAATTCCATGCGAAGTCGCTGCACAGCGTGCGTAAGAGCCCGTGGAGGACACACGCGCTACTGACATCTGTGTCGTACTTTTGGTTTTGACCCCTCTGACTTTGTACCGTTGATTACAGATTAAACATCCATAAGTGTACAAATGTGTTGTTATTGATGTGTTCCCATTTGATTATTGTTCATAATAAGAAGCAAAATAAATAAGATATGTTTACAGGATTTTGTTGCACGAAAAACTAAGTGATGCGTTTTCCATGGCGCTCAGTATATATTTAGCTCAATTTTCGTCAAGGTCGCTTAGATGTAAATAAGGTTAGGGCACGTGATTCTTGGGTATCCCACTAGAAACATCAACGCTGATAAAAAAAAGAAAGAAACGAAATATACATCTGTTTTTAATCAGATTTGGAATTACATCGCTGTACTCTGTTTATTCATTTTTTAAAAATATTTCCGAAATACACTCGAAAATATCATATTGTTGTAAGTGACAATTGTCAGTAGTTTTTTACCCAAAATACCATAAAACTACGAAATTTAACCTATTTACATCATCAATACGCATTATTTTCATTGACGCCTGCGAGTAAATCAAATGCCAAGGTCACGAACACAGCATGTAAGTTCAAGGTCAATCCGCCAATACATTTCGAAACGAATAATATGCAATAAACTCAATTATTCCATATCTCTACGACTGTTTGGCCATGTGCAAACATCGCTATTACGCATGGAAATATCCCAATTGATATTGTAACCGTTAGTTCAAGCTGTCAACAGTTTTCAGTTCCGAAGAGTATCTCTTTACATCCGTATGCCAGTTGACAAAAACGGAACTGCGCAGCTGCATTCAACTAAAAAGCTATTAATATCCAATTTTAAATTACATTTTGATATTAGTTCAAATCTATTTTAATCATTCTTAGCTTAAAGTAGCTAAGTCTCTAACTCAATATCATCCAAAATCTTCGACATTGAAAACACGATTTATTTGTCGGTTTAAATCAACATTGATGTTGTGATCTTACCGGGAAAAGATGGCCTTCTGATATCCAATATTTAAGACAAAATAAACATTTTACAATTGGTACACGAATCGTGTACCACAATGCGTTTCAGCGCTATTTATAATAAGGGACTCGAAAAACGAGGTTAGACATGATTCCACAAGTCATGTCAAACGGTGACGCTATATTCTTATCTGGAGAGCAAGCCCAATAAATAATATCGGCGTAGACTGGAATAACCAGACGCTAGAGATTGAAATTCGATTGAGAATACTGGCGTATTTCGCCGAACCTAACTGATTAAAAATTAGAGTAAAAAAAAAAACGATTGAATGTAAATCAATTTATATACATTCATATGACATTATTGTATGCGTTGCGACCCATTTGTGTCAATTTCTATGTCACAAATATTAGCGACTTAGCTCCTTTAACATTTTATGAAACTGGGCCCTTGGGAGATGACAGGTCGACCGCTAGACGTTCGTTAGCCTCTTAGAACTTGTTTTATACGTCTGATGCTGAAATCCTGGCATCGACTCAAGTACTGCAAATCCCTCAATAGCACGCATGATCCCTCGATCTCTATGTCACATTGCCGGTTTCGTGCAGGTTCGATATCTTTAATATATTGCACTTGCGAGGAAGGTATCATCGTCTGAATATATCATTTAAGTTCAGGTTGATTTCGTGAAGACAAAAATATGTCATCTTGTCAAACGCATCAATTTTAAATTAGTAAAATTCGTTTTGAACGAGATAGAGTGTGAATACTTGTGAACTGACTTCAGACAGGCATATTCGTCGAACTTTTTTAATGTTAGTGAACAGTATTAGATTTATGGCTATTAAACTTCATCCCGTGACCTTTGTTTGTAAGATGATTTATTGAACAATTGAAAAAAAAGTGGTTCCACAAACCAGTTTACAAATCGTGTAAGTCCACCTCTGTAATAATCAAATATTTCCGTAATTTAAAAAAAAGGAACATAATAACTTCTAACACTGATCCTATAATTAGTAACCCGGATGTCACAATATTCGTCATTGGCCAGAAAACTGTCGTCGTCTTTATCATCATCTCCATGGTCGTTGGGATGCTAACATGATGCCAGTCAATGCATGTGTGGTAATAAGTTTAAAGGAGCTAAATCGCTAATATTTGGGACCTAGAAATTGACCCAAATGGGTCGCAACGTATATAATAATGTAATCTGATTGTATATAAACTGATTTACATTCAATTGTTTCCGTTTTGACTCTAATTTCAAATCAGTTATGTCCAGCAAAATACGGCATGAGTCTCAAACGAATAGCAAATTTCTAGCTTCTGGTTATTCCAATCTATTGCGCATGCTCTTCAGATAAGGTATGGCGTCACCGTTTGACATGAGTTTTTGAATATGTGTAGCTTCGTTCTTTCTGGTCACTTGTTACAAATGACGCTGAAATGCACTATGATACACGATTCGTATACCAATGGTAAAATGCTTATTTTGTCTTAAATATTGGATATCAGAAGCCCACTTTTCCCCCGGTAAGATCACAACATCAATGTTGATTTGAATTGACAAATAATTCGTGTTTTCAACGTGTAAGACTTTGGATGATATTGAGTTAGAGACTTGGCTACTTTAATTGGTAATTAAAAGTGAAGAGCAACTACAGTCTGAATAAGTTTTGTTACTGGTTGTAACATTTGGTGCCGATTTTACATATGAAAGCTAAATATCCATATACCTTTAAAACAACAAGCTATTAATAATACAGATTTCGTTTTAATATTTCAGCCCAAATTAGAAATGTAGCCTTAAATAAAACAACCTATCAGAGTTCTGTGGCACATGGAGGTGTGTCGTCTAATGCTGTAGATGGTAATACTAATGGTAATTATAATGGAGGATCATGTACCCATACACAACCAGTTTCACCTAGTTGGTGGTGTATTGATCTACAACAAGAATTCAATATCATCAATATTAACATATATAACAGAATCACCAGTAAGTATACAAATCACCAATATTAAGATAACAGACTCGACGGTAGTAAGTATACAACATCAGCAATATTACACTTTATAACAGAATCACCAGTAAGTATACAATATCATCAATATTGACATAATTGTATAACACAAACACCAGTAAGTATACAAACATAAGTATACAATATCAGCAATATAACAGAATCACCAGTACGTATACAATATCACCAGTAAGTATACACTATCGGCAATATTACACTATATAACATGATTTTACGAAACAATAACTAAAGATGCTTGTTACGTGAATCCACATGTTGCGTTTCTTCTTTTTTGATTATCACTTTTCTATAACGAACTAAAGGAGAAAGTGCAGTTGATGTGATTCCACTGATCAGGCATCACATGATATCATTAGTTATCGTTTTAGAAAACTGACTGAATGAAATGTGTGTTGTACATATTCTGTGAAACCACTGCTCAGGCATCTTCATGCATGATTTTGTTATTTATAAATTTAAATATATTGTTTGATTTAATAAAATGTGTTTCTTAGTTGATCTCTCTCCATCACTGAAATTGTTTTTTTTTGATTTTGAAATCTGAACATCGAAAAATGAACTACTTGTTTTGTGTTATTTGCCAATATCGAAAAACGAGAAACTCGATTTTCGTTATTCGCCCTTAACGATCGAAAAACGAGCTAACTTCGCACTGCCAGGACGATTAGCCTGGTGTAAAATGATATTATATCCATACTTTTCTCGGCTTTTTGATGAAAAGGAGAGGGTATAAACCGATACACGGACACTTTTCATCGGTTGATATAAAAGTGGCCGTGTATCAGTTGAAAAGTGGACATTTAACAGTGAAAAAAATGTCGTGATCAGTTGAAAAAGGGACAAAAATAACAAATTTATGATTTGCATATTTATTTGAACATATATACCAACCATTTTTGAACATGTAATCGTTCGAGTAACAGAGTCATCATTTTCAATTTTCTCCGCATTTTTCGAAATTGCGTCATTCTCAGTCATATTCTTACATTTTGTCTTACATTTTTGAACATGTAATCGTTATAGTAACAGAGTCATCATTTTCAATTTTCTCAGCGTCATTCTCAGTCATATTCTTACATTTTGTCTTACATTTCTCTACATTTTGATATCTGGTCGCACTTTCACATTTTGTTGCGGTTTCACATTTTATCGCGGTTTATGCTCATCCGCAGCACGTAATCCAAACATTTTACTATTATAATAGTATATGGCGTAAATTAATTCCTTATCATTTTCTACACTAAAAACTTGAGAACTCCACAATTTAAACTCGTCGTCTTCATTAAATGGCTGTGCTTGTTTTTTGTGGATGTCTATACCTCGCGAATTTAATGATTTCATCTGTGCGTCTAATTTAACACGGAAATAAGGAAAGATACCTTGTAAAAAAAGTTCAAAACAAATCTCCTGTACTGATCTCCCAAGTGTCATCATATTCCTATGCATATATTCCTATGCATGTATTCCCCAATGTTCTAGCTGGATATGGTGTACCGTCGTGTCTATTGATTTCACAAACAAATCTACACATCCAAAAATTCAGAATACCAGCTGGTATGTCTGCCGATCGAGGTTGAACTAGGGAAAAGCGTGCACTGAAAGGAAGTATACTTATACACCAATTGGTATTTTTCCTCGTGTTTGGTGGAATTCGACTCTCTTGTTCTGTGATGGGGCTTCTATATCGGTTCTCATGTTGATTGCGAGCTAGCTCAAAATCTTCGCGATCATCGGCATCGCTTGCAAAAATGATATTCTCGGTCTCAGGAATATACATCTGTGACATTATAAAGTCAGATTCTTCTTCGAATTCCCCATTCATTTTCTGTCATCCATTACTATCGACACAGCCAGAATGTTGGAAAAACAAGAAGAATTGACTATTGTACAAAATGATTGGATGACGAATACTTTTCACAACCAATCAATAGCCCTGTTATCAACATATTCCCTGACCTGAGGTTATGAACATATTCCCTGACCTGATTTAAAATGCACGTGCTATGCGATGTACTGACATCATTTACCTGAGTAGAAATGAGCGTTTGGGAAACTTTTATAAATTTGGGAAATGAAAAATGCTTTTGAAATTGGGAAGATAGAAAAAATGTATATTTCTCGAAAAAGTATTTAGTATAAGTCAGTCCGCCTCGGAGATCTCACTCTAAAAGGACTCGGTGTAACAACTCATACACCTTAAAAACAAGGTATATAACTATACTTGTTCATTTTATCTTCACGTACTTTATAAAGCGTATTGTCCATTAACGTGTTGCAACATTGGCCATTTTGCCATCACGTATTCCATCCTGTGTTCTTTTGTTTCTTAATACACAACCACTTAAAGTCTTAGGGATAAAATAATAGAAAAGTCACTACTCTTCATTGAAGGCGGGCGGGGGGCGGGGCATCCCTCGTGATCATCCAGCCTGGTATCACCTTCTATGGTTCGGGCCACAGGTTCTGGGAAAAAAGGTTTACCTCAGAGTATATGCTCGGTTTCATTATCCTGGTTGCGCAGACAAATTGGACGTTATACTCCATTTTTTGTTCATTTCGTCTTAGACGATTAATACAATAAAATAAGACTAAGTAGTCTAATCATCTTTGGGGTGGGTATAGCAGTGTGTTTGAATGAATGAACGATTATAATATTCTTTTGTATTTTATTGATACGTTATGTACGTATTTCATCCCACGGGTCGCCATAAATCATTTTTACTGCAAACCAGTCTCTGGTTGGTAAATATGTTAACCGTTGTCCACGTGCCAAGAAGTCTCAATAAAACAAATATGCTGATCAGACACAAACATCCAGTAAGCTGGTGATTTGCTTATGTTACAGCATTGTAGTCGCCCAAATTGTCAGATACTGAAACAATCTTTGAGGTGGGTATATTTCTATAAGAGTTTCATGTACAGGACATGATCCGTTTAATAAACCACCGGATACCACTTCTCATCTGTGTGAGTGTATACTTTATGATTTGTTTATGCATTAACAATAATATTAAGAAAAAAGTACTGTATGTTACAGATAAAGAGAGATTACAAGGATTTGAGATAAAGCTAAGTTCTGATGATCAGTGTAATGGACAAGGATTTAGATCAGCTACATCATGTTATATAAATACACCACAAACAGTACAAGATGTATATTCTATAGGTAGATGTAATCAACAGCCATCTACATCTTTATCTGCTAGAACAGTGTTTATCAGTGTTACTGGTGTACTTACATTGTGTGAAGTTAAAATATATACAGGTGAGTCTCCTTACTGTATTCACAAGTTAATCAAACTTTCTAAGTGGGCAAAAATATAGAGAATGGCCAGGGTTTTTTGTTTGTAAATTTCAAACTCGGTAATAAATATATTATATTTTCGAGATTTTAAATAGGAAAATGACATTGTTATGTAGACTAGTTTCATCTACCTTGTGGGGAACATGACCGATAAATACGAAATTTCGATTTCATTTGTATTCCTTTGGTCACAGCTTGTAACTGTCAATCTCTGACATAGATGTTGCTGCATGTATACTGAGATTAATTCAGTTTGATACATTAAAGTATCTGTGCTGTTTACGGTTTATTCTATTTCACAGCGCTGTTGCACAATAAATCAATTTACATAACGTCTCTCCTTTAGGAGTTGTGTTATAGTTTGATATGTTTTCGCTTATAGGTATTTCTATGAACGAACCCTTTTTTTAAAGAATCGACAGTTAAAGCCAAAGACAGTCATTCGTCATCCTATGTTATTTTAGCTAAATCTTATAGTAAATACGAATATTTGAAAGTACACTAACCCTAAGCACCCTTGTACACGTACAGTATAAATAATTATTTTATTCAGATTGTACAGGTGATGATTGTCAGTGTGATGAGAACTGTATGTCTTGTAATACAACAACAGGTGTCTGTAACTCATGTAAACCTGGTTGGTTTGGTACAAACTGTCTACAACAATGTTCTAGTAACTGTACCAATCGATTGTGTAATTCAAAATCTGGTATTTGTAATGATTGCATTGATGGTAAATATGGCACCAACTGCCAATCAACATGTATAATTGATCAGTGTATAGGTGGTTGTAACAGGAATACAGGACATTGTTCTAGATGTATACAAGGTTACCGTGGCACCAACTGTGAGACATGTGTAGAAGGTAATTATGGTACCAGCTGCCAACAGAGCTGTATAGTTACTAACTGTGTAGGTAACTGTAATAGGGATACAGGCCAGTGTTCTAGCTGTAAACAAGGTTACCATGGCACCAACTGTGAGACATGTGTAGAAGGTAAATATGGCAGCAACTGCCAATTAACATGTACAGTTACTAACTGTAACGGTAACTGTAACAGGGATACAGGCCAGTGTTCTAGTTGTAAACAAGGTTACCATGGCACCAATTGTGAGACGTGTGTAGAAGGTAAATACGGTACCAACTGCCAATTGACATGTACAGTTACTAACTGTAACGGTAACTGTAATAGGGATACAGGGCAGTGTTCTAGTTGTAAACAAGGTTACCATGGCACCAATTGTGAGACGTGTGTAGAAGGTAAATACGGTACCAACTGCCAATTGACATGTACAGTTACTAACTGTAACGGTAACTGTAATAGGGATACAGGGCAGTGTTCTAGTTGTAAACAAGGTTACTATGGCACCAATTGTGAGACATGTGTAGAAGGTAAATACGGTACCAACTGTCAATTGACATGTACAGTTACTAACTGTAACAGTAACTGTAATAGGGATACAGGCCAATGTTCTAGCTGTAAACAAGGTTACTATGGAACCAATTGTGAGACATGTGTAGAAGGTAAATACGGTACCAACTGTCAATCAACATGTACAGTTGATAACTGTAACAGTAACTGTAATAGGGATACAGGGCAGTGTTCTAGCTGTAAACAAGGTTACTATGGCACCAACTGTCAATCAGCATGTACCGTTACTAACTGTATAGGTAATTGTAACATAAGTACAGGACAGTGTGATACATGTAACTCTGGGTGGTATGGTACAAACTGTACAACTACATGCTCTAGAAACTGTAGGGAAGAATGTGATAAATCAACAGGTAACTGTAGAGAATGCAGATCAGGAATATTTGGTGATGATTGTAATAAACCATGTCATGTTAATTGTCTTGATACTTGTACCAGGAACGATGGTAAATGTGGTGGTTGTAAACTTAATGCAGATGGTCCATATTGTAATATTACATGTGGTACAGAATGTCAACCAATTATAAATGTGACTCAAGAAACATGTGGTAGAGATGGTAGATGTACTGAATGTATTGTAGGCAGATATGGTGATGGGTGTGATTTGAATTGTAGTACAACATGTGATGGTAGATGTGATAGAAGTAATGGTATATGTAGTTTATGTATTAAAGGATACAGTGGAGATACCTGTGATAAAGACTGTAATGAAAACTGTACTGTTTGTAATCAAGATGATATCAACAAGTGTTCGCAATGTAAAGATGGAAAATATTATGGAACATCGTGTAATTACCCGTGTAGTTCTAACTGTAATGGACACTGTGATATATCTGATGGAACATGTTCCCTCTGTAAACTTGGTTGGTATGGTAACGTATGTCAACAACAATGTTCTACCAATTGTAAAGCAGGTTGTGATATATCAGGAAAATGTCAAGTGGGATTTCTAGGTGACTATAGTAAATGTATATTAAATTAATTTAATCCCTATTAATTTATCCCTTTTATTCAAATGTGCCGATTACTTTTGTCGTTTCTAAAATGAAAAAAAAAACAGAACAGTTTGTACGTTATGTCTGTTGTGTATTGGCATGGATTAAAAGTGGATTTTTGCTAATTGTAATCTAGCATGTATCATTGGCCTTAAAAAATGAAATTAAGGGCAGATAATATCCCCAATTACATGAAGTTTTATGTCTGCTAATATCAATGTATATATGTTTGATCATTTAAGATGATATCAAAACTGAAGAAATGAGTCCAGTTGTAGCTGGTGTTATTGGTGCTATATTTGGAATAGTAATTACAGCGATAATTGGTGTTTCAGTACATTGCTATATAATTAAAAGGTAAGAAATAAAATTATATGAATGCATAGTCATCTTACTCGATTTGTTTATACCACAATGCATACATCAGTAAGTTCATAATTCGTGCACCCTCCACATTACTAGACAACAAACCAATACATAAGTTATACACGGATATCATTGAGAAAGGGGCATGAACGTCATAGACCGTGTAAGCAATCTAGTGAATTATTTATGTTAATTTTAAAATCTATATGTGTATTTTGATTTACAGAAAACAGTTATCTAAACCAGCCAGTGAATCCCGGGGTTATAGATATAATAATCAACCAACGATTAATACATTAACAACAGGAGGAGATAACTCTACATCTCACGATATTACTTATGATACTCTGCAACAAGTTTCAACTCAACAAGATGAAGCAGCAAATCAATACCAAACATTAAATCCAAATCCTGCATATGTTAACCTTGGTTTACAATAAGACAATTGCGTGGGAAGAAGGATTTGCATTTGTGTGACCATAGGCAGAATATGCTTGTGTAAAATATGAGGCATGTTTAATGATCATAGATTTTGTGACCAATTAAATAAGAATAAAAGACTATATAGCTGTATATATCACAACAAAGATGTTAATTACTATTCATATTAGTTGAAATGAGGTGCGGGCTCTTGAAAAAGGCAAATTTACACATTTTAATTCATTAGATCGAAAGTGTTCTATGGGCCTTAATCAAACTTAATTCTTATTCTATGCTTATCGACACCAGGTACCTTGAAGGGGAACATTTAGACGTTTTCGGTGTCATTTGATGGATGCACACCAACTTTGGTAGTTGTGTTGCTTTGGTGGTGACTATTCATATTTGTGTAATTAATGGCTTTCACCGTTCCTTACGAACGATCTTGTTTGGGCACCTTGGTGAAATTTATTTAGAAATTGTGCTATTTCTACTTACTCATGACACGATACTTTTGGGTTCCTGTGCAAATGTATGTAAAATCAATTTGCTTGACGCCAAGAACGGGCAAATGAAGACTTGCATTGATCTGGATGTGTTCAAAGAATCAAACAGTAGAATTAAATTGCTAAGCAGAGATGACCAGCAACATATTGCACGAAAACGTATAACCACGTTGTAAACCATATCTCCATAATTCATACCTTATTATAAACAAATATGAATCGTGACGATTCAAATGCAATGCAAATAAATTTTGTTTTCCTGTTCTTTAAATAATAAGTGTATATCAATTATTCTAAAGCCGCTTGTTGTCATTTGAGAGGTTTGTGATTCCTTGCAAACTACACTATACTATGAATGTTGAATATCAGTTCAATTTAGTTCAGTATTTACACAGATTTGATGAATTGACGGGTCTCTATTTAATCTTACTGAATTCAAGCTCGTAGATTATCTTAATAATAATAATAATAATAATGTACATTTATATAGCGCTTAATCCATCCATGAGCATGCTGGATAATACATCGTGAACATATGCGTCTTAAGTCTAGATCGAAATTGAGCAACTGTTTCTGAACACTTTATTTTGTCAGGTAAGTCATTCCATAGTCGTGGACCATATACACTGAAGGCTTTATCACCAAAAGATTTTAATTTAGTTGGAGGTACAACAAGTGATAGATTATTTCGTTGATATTTAGATTATTTTCTATTACATAAAAACAAGGGTATTTTCAAATATTTACACAAATTTTCTCAATTCAACGATATTGTGTCAGACTGTATCTATATAGTCTACTTTATATTGAATATCTTATTTTAATTTATGTAACCATACTATACCTACCTTAATTGGGGTAATTTCTAGACATAAATTACTCATTTTTTGTACGATCCACACTTCTTGATAGAGTATTAATAACAGTGCAGGTTGTAGTATTTTTCTGTTACAATTAATATATATAGAATATTTCAGAACAAAACTTGAAGAAATTAAAATATTTCAGATACTACTTTAAAGATGCATTGTGTGAGAGCTAAATCTGTCTATTGTAGGTATTTCTATTGGCCTCCGATATGTTATATAAATCATTAATTAGACATGTATTCACATGACAAACCCAGAATCAACTCTGTAGGACATTGAATGATCTTGATTTTTAATGAATTGAAACACGATCGCCATTTCATAATTTAATTTATCAATGGATAATTGAGACATTGTTTAATATCGTAACAATGGTAGCAATAAAAATCGAGACTACGCTATTCTTATCAAAACTTCCCACATCGATTACTTCGCTCAGAATAAAGTAATTTGACTGATATTTTCTATATACTACTTCTTTCATTATTTATATTTAAACTAGTATTGCGAGAACTCACAGCTCTTCATCTAAATCTTACATAATGCATCTTTAATAGTTTTAATTCTAAAAGTCTTGAACTGAATTCTTAGGGCAATAAGTATTCTCTTAAAACATTAATCGTGTGTGTGCTATTAAAAGTTAACTCGCCAAATATGAAATGGCGTTACTTAATGCCAACTGTGAACATGACAGTCGTGTGATTAATTTATTGTTTTATTTGCGATTGTTATATTTCTTTTATTATTACAGCAATACTTGTATATGCTTAGAAGTAATTCCATAAAAATATGGAATTGTACACTGGTAGATGAGCCTTTTAGGTCTCCCCGACGTAGTAGGTACTAGTTGGTTATTCGCGATCCTGTAGTTGCATGTATGAATTTTCAGTATTAAAGATTGAAGAACCATTCCAGACTCTTGTAATATATGACGGAACACACCCGTCAAAATTGTTGCAGAAGTCCAGCAAGATTACAACCTCTTACATTCTACTAGGAGTGACTTCCACGATAGTTTTTTCCATTGGAAGACACATCGCATAGTTTGTTCATCCGTGTCGGGAAGGGAATGAACACTACATTACCCTTTAACCTGTCCGGATAACAGCTATCGCCGTTACGATACATGTGTGGATGTGAGCAATGTTTAACCAGGATTGAAGACGTTTCAACACAATGCAAAATGGCAACATTTACGTAGATTGTCTAAGGTGAAGAAGCGTGGAAACGCGACGTCATTTCGCGGGAACCTGTCGTCGGATCTGATTGGTTTAAACCCTATTGCGGTTGGAGTCTACGGAAGGGGCAACTGTTACAGAAGTATTGCGTGGCAAGATTCCAACCTCTTACATACCAAAGCGAGTATCTCTACCATGTGTTTGACCTTCTTAGATTTCAGTGCACAACCTGGGTTCTAAGTGATGCAATAGCGACTTACTGAATTATAAGTCTCCTAAATTTAGACAAGAATGGTATGTAGGGGTCTATTGTTATTTGATTAACAAAGGGGTTTACCCCCGTATGTTTTTACAGGGACAATATGCCACATATGCATGCCAGGGTTTGAATCTTACATTTAACAATTTGGTAAACGTATCTTTATATTTAAAATCAATTTTATTTATCTATTTTTTTTTCTCCCGGGGGAAGACCTTTGAATGAAATATACTGGCATTGAAATCTAACAATAAAGGTATCACTTATTGGTCATCGGTCAAATACTTTACAACCAAACTACTGTTCTAGACCTCAACTAGGAAGCAATATTTTATAGTTTAATCGTCGATGTGTCATAATTGTTTGTTGTATATTTTGTAGAATTGTATGTTAATTCATGCTAGCGGGGCAGAACCTGAAAGGGACGAAAAAAACTTCGGGTTATAAATCACATAGAAGCATAGGCGTACCGGCTCGATGAAAGCTAGCGGGACAGAACCTGAAAGGCACGAACAAATTTCGGGTTATAGGCGGTGCCGGTCGTCTGTGAGGGGCGAAGGAGTGGAGCTTTAATTGTACTTTCCCCCCCCCCCCCCACACACACACATCGCCCCAAACGCGTTTTCTTGGCTCGAAGCGTTATAGTGAGAACCTAGCATTAAGACGGTTGTATTAACATCTTCTATTTCTATCGTAACACCTCACTGGTTTGCACGAATAAAATGAATAGTCAGTCATTTTAGGCGTACGGGCTCGATGAATGTTGGGGGCGGGGAGGCGGACGTTTCCATGGATACCAGACAAACCACGGTCCTTAGCCAAAAAGTGAACTGTGGGTTTCTTGAACATTGCTCAACATTGTTCATACTAAATTTGACTTTTGTTGTCATGAGGA